ATTTCCCTTAGAAAGAAACTCTTGAATCTTTGAATCCAAACAGGATCACAAAACATTCAGGAGGCAATCACATTAAATGGACAGGACTGGAGTTAACTGTTGTCTTAAATGCAACTGTCAATTCTCAAATATCAAGCTCTAGTGAACAACAGGATGTTGAATAAACAGTTTTAGTCATGTTGATTGAGGGATAAATGTTGGCAAAAACAGCAAGGAGAACGCTTATATTCACCTGAAAAGGAAGACATTATCTAGTTTAACGTTTCATCCAAAAAGCAGCTTCTCCGATAAGGAACGTCATCATTGCTGCATTGAAACATCAGTCTGGTTTATGTATTCAAGTCCTCGGGGGTAATTTTAACTTATCACCAGGTTAAAAGAGGGGTGACAATGCATTTGTATGTTATTTTACACCTCACTAGATTTTGAATCAGAAACAAAAGTAGTGCCAGAATCAAGCTGTCACATGGAATGTAATAGGCAGAATGTATTGGCATCTCATTGCAGCACTGCCTGTTTCTCTGTGTTAGTGCAATACCACAGTGGACATTTTTAGTCAGTGCACGAAGCTAACACAAACAACTAAAATCTTCACACGTGTTAAATGACAAACAATTATAACAGTGCTTCCATCATCACAAATAAGTTTGAATGATGGAATATACAAAGCCTTTGTATATTGCTGCCTTCATACTGGGATGGGAATTTATCTAATAGGATTAAATCTTTCCCCTCTCACCTTAAACCCATGCTTCTCCCAGTCAAACAATTCAGCACAAAGCACCAAGTAAACAGCTCTCTCAGCTGGATCTTCTCACACAATTTAGGGGGATTTCCATCCCTGATTGCCCACACAATAGTCAGACTATCTGAATTTATTGAATGGTGCAGCAGGTTTGAGGATCAAATAGTCTATTCCTCCTATTTTTTATTTCTCATGACCAACAAGGCAGACTGTCCACATACTCCATGTAATTGGCAGCAACTGATTAACTTTACCTCTGGGAGCTGTGACAAACATTAAGTAAACCATAAATAAGGTTTCATTGAAAAACAACCAAAGCTCCACTCTTCCCTGTTAAATTTCTTGATTTCTGACTAATGAATCAAGATTGTCACTTTGTGACTTTTAAATAAGAAAAATACAATTGTCACTGGATTTTGAGGGTCATATTCCATGAGAGGTACAGACAGTAGATCATGAGAATCTTTCCCCTTTGGCAGACATGGGCATAAGTTTAAGGTGAGGTGAAGTGTGGTTTAGAGGAGATCTGAGAAAAACATGTTTCACCCAGAGGGTGGTAGAAATACAGAACACGCTGTCTGAAAGAGTGGTGGAAGCAGATACTCTCGCAAAATTTAAGAACCAACTGGATTAGCATTTAAAATGCCAGGGCATAGTAGGCTATGGAGCAAGTGCTGGTAAATGGGATTAGTAAAATTGGTACTTGCTGGCCAGCATAGACATGGTGGGTGAAAGAGCCATTCTATGTTGTATAAGTCTATGACACTAAGTTAAATGACATGTGAGTAGCTTAACATGTAATAAAGATGTTAGAGTTGCATTCTGCTTTAAAACTATTCGTTATTGCAGTGTACCTTCAAGGGATTTTATTTAAACTTTTTTTTAATACTTTGACATACATTCCATTCAATATGAGTTCATTTGGCATACAAAATTAGCAGTGGTGCTGGGCATTGTCACTCAGGGGTTAGCTTTCCATCAAAACTCAGTAAAGCAATACCTTGCTGTTTTGAAATGCTGACTTTGTTCAAAGAGCTATTTAATAGTAAAATCTTGCATTTATATAATATCAAATAAATGTGTCTGGTAGTTTATAATCTGAGCACTGTCTAACAGTGTACATCATCACATCTTCCAAAGTCGTATATTTGATAGGGCAGAATGCATTGAAAGATAGCCTGCTACGATTAACAACATATTGGGCAAACAAAGACATACTCCTGCCAATAAAGAACATAGGATCCACTTATTCTAGTGACAAAGAATCCAAAGAACTATCTAACCTTAACAAGCCACAGTAAATTTTTTGTTTCCTCTCCACCTATCCTCTCCTCTATCCATCTTCTATCCGCCTCCCACTCTGTCCCTATTTATTTCAGAACCCCCTTTCCCTCCCCCTTTTCTGATGAAGGGTCTAGGCCCGAAACGTCAGCCTTTCAGCTCCTATGATGCTGCTTGGCCTGCTGTGTTCATCCAGCCCTGCACCTTGTTGTCTCGGATTCTCCAGCATCTGCAGTTCCCACTATCTCTGATTCAACAGTAAATGTATACCCTGATTATGGAGATGCAAAGTGCTAGGGCTAAAGTAAAAGAAATAATTCTTACACGAACTTAATTGAGTTTTCTGAAGAAGTAAAAAAGAGGATTGATGAGGACAGATTGGTGGCATGATCTATATGGACTTCAGTAAGGCGTACGACAAAGTTCTTCATGGTAGACTGGTTAGCAAGGTTAAATCACATAGAATACAGGGAGAACTATGCATTTGGATACAGAATTGGCTCAAAGGTAGAAGGCAGAGGGTGGAGGGTTGCTTTTCAAACTGGAGGCCTGTGACCTGCAGTGTGCCACAAGGATCGGAGCTGGGTCCACTGCTTTTTGTCATTTATAAAAATGATTTAGAGGTAAACACGGAATGTGTGGTTAGTAAATTTGCAGTTGACACCAAAATTGGAGGTGTAGTGGACAACGAAGAAGGTTACCTCAGAGTACAACAGGATCTTGATCAGATGGGCCAATGGACTGAGGAATAGCAGATAGAGTTTAATTTAGATAAACGTGAGGTGCTGCATTTTGGAAAGGCAAATCAGGGCAGGACTTATACACTTAATGGTAAGGTCCTGGGGAGTGTTGCTGGACAAAGAGACCATGAAGTACAGGTTCACAGTTCCTTGAAAGTGGAGATGCAGATAGATAGGATAGTGAAGAAGGCATTTGGTATGCTTGACTTTATCAGTCAGTGCATTGAGAATATGAGTTGGGAAGTCATGTTGCAGCTGTACAGGATATTGGCTAGGCCACTATTGGAATATTGTGTGCAATTCTGGTCTCCCTGCTATAAGAAAGATGTTGTGAAACTTGAAAGGGTTCAGAAAAGATTTACAGGGATGTTGTCAGAGTCGGAGGGTTTGAGCAATAGGGAGAGGCTGAATAGGCTGGGGCTATTTTCCCTGGAGCATCAGAGACTAAGGGGTAACCTTACAGAGGTGTATAAAATCATGAGGGGCATGGATAGGGTAAATAGCTAAGGTCTTTTCCGGGGGGGGGGGGGGCGGAGTCCAAAACTAGACAGCATAGGTTTAAAGTGAGAGCGGAAAGAATTAAAAGGGATCTAAGCAGCAACATTTTCACACAGAGGGTGGTGCATATATGGAATGAGCTGCCAGAGGAAATGGTGGAGACTGGTACAATTACAACATTTAAAAGGCATCTGGATGGGTATTTGAATAGGAAAGGTTTAGAGGGATATGGGCCAAATGTTGGCAAATGGGCCTAGATTTATTTAGGATATCTGGTCAGTATGGACAAGTTGGACTGAAGGGTCTGTTTCCGCGCTGTACATCTCTATGACTCTAAGTTAAGTTTCTGTGAAGTATACATGGAACAATGAGTACATTGTGTGCAGGGCACTACATGGGCAAAGATCAATCTTCAGTCATCATTTTTATAGTTGATGGAAGTTAAGAACCAGCACGAGTCACATATGTCACGTTTAAAGTAATAAAATAAGATGCATTACAGGAACACTTCAAAGCAAAACTCTATGCTGAGCCACATAAAATATTAGGGCAATGGACAGAAACATGGTCAAAGAACTAGGTTTCGAGAAAGAAAGTGAGGTCTCCTACTGAAAGACATACAAGATCCTGAAAGGTCTTGATAGAGATGTTGAAAGGATGCTTGTCCTTGTGGGAGAGTCTAGAACTACAGGGGACAATTTAAAAATATGGAGCTCTCTCATTTTAGACAGAGATGATGAGATTTTAGACTAATAACGGGTCAAAAGTTATCAGGTTGATACAGGTGAATGTGGAGTTGCTGGCACACCAAATTAGTTTTGATGTTATTGAATATTGGAGTAGACTTGCAGAGCCAAATAGCCAACTAAAATATTCATAAAGGTGCAGAAGATTAAGGGTGGTCTTCCAGAACGTCGAGTCTTAGCAGCTGTGGCGCAACCGCTAACGGCTGGGTAATCAACATTGGAGCTGTTGAAAGAGTAGAGATCAGAATTAAAGGAGCGCGGAGATAGTGCGGAGCTGGACGCTGAAGCCTTTCGGAAGAAAGGTCTCGACCCGAAACGTCAACTTTCCTGCTCCTCTGATGCTGCCTGGCCTGCTGTGTTCCTCCAGCTCCACACTGTGTTATCTCTGACTCCAGCATCTGCATCTCATTATCTTAGAGGAGCGCGGAGCCTGTGCATCATGTGGCAGAAGGAGGCCACGGAGAGAGGCAATTCCACGAATAGATTTGAAAGGATGAGAATTTTAAAATCGTGGCGTTGTTTGTGCAGGAGTCAATGTAGATCAGCAAGCACATAGGAAATAGAGGAAGGGGGCTTTAATTGAGCTCAAGACAGGAAAAGCGGTGTTTCGGATGCCTTAACTGTGAAGAGGATTGATTACGAGTATTACCAGATGTATTATGTTTGCCTGTTGTCATGTGCAAGCATGCGTTTGAGCAGAAACATACTGCCATCGTTCAGAACTACTGAAAGATTCCACAAAAGGGTCCCTGTCCTACCAGAGGTAGGGGATTTGACCCGTCCACACAGAAACGGTACATTGGAAACCGAACCGCACACAAGCTTTTCAAGGATAACTAATATTCCCTGCTGGCTGCGTTGTGATAAAGGCGGGTCCCCGGGCGGATGTGTGCAACAACTGAGGATCGGCGCAGGCGATTGAGTCCCTAGCAACCAGGGTCGCCCCCACCAGGCCTTGTATCAGTGCTCGGGGAACTCCTCGGCGCTCACCTCGGTGAAGATATCGTGCAGATAGCGGAAAGGCGGCTTGCTGAGCAGCTTGTCGGTCAGTGGCGGCTTCTTGATCACTTTTCCCAGGGTGTCCTGGGTCCGTCTGACGAACGGGCTGCTCATTGCGCTGGCTATCTCCTTCCCTGGGTCGGGATAAACATCCGCCGATCACTTCGCCCAGGCCGTTCTCGGACCCTCTCCACCAACCGCCGCGGCGCGCGACTACGTCACTGCGCGAGCCACCTTCGGCGTGACGCGACTGCCTAGCAACCACCGCAACAGCGCTGTCAGCTGATACACTGCGTCCTTCCCCCAACCATTCATTCCCCACTAAGATCGTTTCCTTACCGTTTTATCAATATTCATTTGAGGCATAGGTTTAAGGTGAGAGGGGAAAGATTTAAAAGGGACCTCAGGGGCAACTTGTTCATGCATGGATGGAATGAACTGCCAGAGGAAGTGGTGGAGGCTGGTACAATGACAACATTTAAAAGGCATCTACATGGTTATATGAATAAGAAGGGTTTAGGGGGATATGGGCCAAATGATGGCAAATGGGACTAGATTAATTTAGGATATCCAGTCGGCGTGGACGGGTTGGACTGACTCTATGTTTCTATATGGATCAAATTGGTGCCACCAGCATGGAAATTAATTCACATTCCAGCTGGGATGGATTCAGAACCTGTCTCCTTGCCCTGTCTGTAATAAAGGTGGGCGTGCCTTCAGCAGAGAGAACAGAGAAGAGAAAGCAAACTTTCTGGCTCCATTACAAAGCAAGAGATGATTTCATTCATTGTTTAAATTTTACACTTCCAACATAAACACAAGTTAGCTTTTAACTGTGATTAACTCCAAGCTTACAGAGATAGTAGGAACTGCCGATGCTGGAGAATCTGAGGTAACAAGGTGTAGAGCTGGATGAACACAGCAGGCCAA